TACCTAGGGCATCCAACAGACAGGCCTCCCGCGTGTACGCCTCCACGGCCACCACGTGCTGGAAGCAGTGTAGGGAGATGACTCCGCGGCCGCTCGCCCAGATATCCAAGATCCGGCGGACCTTGGGACAGGCCTGGGGAGTGTGGTGGGATCAGGGCTTGGGTCCTAAGCCGTCTGCCCTCCGGCTGGCTGAAGGCTGGCTGGCCCTGCCCCCCTCTGCCCCCTGTCCCCACCTTTTTCCCTGGCCGCTCACGGTAGCCGAGGGCTTCCCAGAGGTGGGCATCTGGCCGGGCACAGGTCCCCTTGCCCACATAGAAGATGGCTTGCACGAAACATTGCAGACTCTCGGCCAGAGTGAGGGAGGATGCTCGGGCGGGCAGGCCCCGCGTCTGCCTGGGGTGCAGAGGGGCTCAGAGGATGAAGGAGCTTGATGCCAACCCTGACCCCGAGTTCCATCCCTGGGACCCACACGATGGAAGGAGACCAACTCCCACAAGCTGCCCCCCACCCCAGGGTGCGTGTGTGTGCAGACAGACACATGCATGGAAATGTGTGAAAAAAAAAAAAACAAAGGGGGGTGGGGGGGTGGCTCAGAGAGGGAAAAACAACCACTGTCCCCAGAGCCATGGGCCATTTGAACCCACATCCAGGGGCCCCTACTTTATAAGCCATGAAATGGGTACTCACAGCCGGAACCGACTCCGGCAGATTAACAGAGACGGCTAGCCCCTTCCCTAGGGACACACAGCGAATCAAAAACAAACCCCCACCATCTGTTGGGGTTTGTTTGTTTAGATGTTTTGAGACAGAATTGTCCTGTTACAACCCAGGCCTGGAGCTCGGAGTCCACCCCCTTGTTCTCACGAAGGCAGAAGCCATCAGCAAGGGACAGCCCCTCCCCACCTCTGTGGAGGATAGAACTTTCGGGGCCAGGCTACTGCTCCGCAGAGCCATGCTCTAATCCCAAGCCGCGGCGTTTCGGTCACCATCCTACCTGGGGTCGAGAAGAAGATACGTAAAGCTGGACTTGGCGGCGCCTTCCCGCCACCTCTTTGCGGGATCCGGATGCTGAAAGTGCCGAGCCAGGGCGGCCTCATCCGCCTGGCAGTCAGGGATGTGGCCTGTCCTCAGCGCCTCGGCCAGTTCTGGACTGTGCCCTGGAACAGTTTGGGAGGTGAAACGGAGTCAGGGCCGAGGGGGAAGGATGGTGAGGGCGGTGGGGCAGGTCTCGGGATTCCAGAAGTGTGGCCGGACTCCCAGTACCGCCAAGGGGCTCACCCGGGCTAGCCTGGGCTTCCTGCAGCCGCCGCAGGTAGTGTCTTCGAGTAAAAGGAGTGACCGGGCCAGGACTGTAGCCCAGCGCCCTCAGGGCCTGGAGCAGCTGCAGGTCAGACATGGGACCTTGTGGGTGCGAGGCCCCCGGGTCCCCATCACCAGGCAGGGAGGGGACATTGGTGGCCTCTGTGGTCAACTTCAGGGCCTGCAGCTGGCAGCTTAGTGCCCCGTCCCCAGCCACCTCGGCCCCACAGGACGGCCATGGGCTGCCCGCTGGTCCCGGTGTCCCCGCAGGGCGCCGGGGCTGCAGAGAGTCCTCCAACGCGGTGAAGAAGGAGTCGCTGCTGCTGCAGTCCGGGCTCCCGGTAGCCTCCGGGCTCCGGGGCTCCACCACCACCTTCCCGGCAGCCGCCGGCTCAGCTCTGCGCCTGTGCTGCCCCGAGTCCAGCGACGCATCCGGAGGTGTAGAGATGCCAGGAGACCCCGCAAAGACACGTCCTGGGCACAGGGCGGATTCAACGCCAGCCGGGGCTACAGGAAATTTCCCTAAACACGGATAAATATACATAAATGTATAGGTAGTTGATAACTAGGCAGATAAACATAGATACGATGAACATAGATACGATGGTACAGACATGACAGGTGGCTAGGTAGGTGTAGACGGGTGATGATATAGGTGACAGATGACAGGTGATGTGACTGACAGATGATGGACAGTGATTGACAGCTGACAGACGAGCATATGGAACTGGCCCCAGCAGCGAGGCGGCACGGTGTACAGGTCCCTTGCACCCCCCTCAGCTCTGCTCACTGGCGGGCTTCGGGGTCTCCTCCCGGGGGCGGGTGGGCGTGTCCAGGTCCCGCAGCACGCGTGCGCAGTTGTGATGCCCCTGCCGCAGCGCCCAGTCCAGGGGCCGGAGCCCGTCCTGCGTAGACACGGTCAGCAGGGGGCGCCCGCGGCCAGCCCTCCCAACGCCCTGGGCTCCCGCGCGGGGTCCCGACCTGGTCTCTCAGCGTGGGGTCGCCCCCGCGGCTCAGCAGCAGCTCCAGGGCGCCGTGACAGCCCCACGCGGCGGCCACGTGCACGGGCGTCAGCGCCTCGGCGGACCTGGGACCCCGGGAGAGAGAGGAGAGGCGTCCGGCGGAGGTTCCTTTTCCAGGCTAGCCCGGGCTAGCCTTGACCTCTTTGCTCCTCCTGCCTCCGCCTCCTGGGCCGGGAGGACGGGTGCCCACTACCGTGGGGGTGAGGAGGGAGTTGATACTCTAACTCGCGGCCTTCCCCCTGCCTCACCCTCCGGAGTAACCGTGTGCGACACCTTGTGCCGACCTGGGGAGCGGACACCTCCACCTCCGAGACCGGACGCCCAGCGCCGCAGGGTCCCCACCCACAGCCCCCGCCCCAGGGCGGCCCGGGCCTCACCGAGCATTGGGGTCGGCGCCCCGGCGCAGCAGGATGCGGAGACACTGCAGGGCGCGCGGGTGGCGCGCGCGGGCCGCCAGGTGCACCGCCGCCGCGCCATCCTCCAGCACCAGGCTGGGGTCGGCGCCCCGGCGCAGCAGCTCCTCCACAGCCCTGCGGCAGACGGCGACGTTAGACCCCCGCCCTGCCGGACACCCCGGGACCCGGAGGACCCCCCCCCGCCCCGCCCTCACCGCGGCTCCTCCTCGCGCAGGGCCGCCAGCAGTCGCCGGGCCGCAGCGGCCATGTCCTGGCGGAGTCACCGCCCTCCGGGTTCAAATTCGCGCGGCAACCTCTGCGCGCGCGCGGCCCCGCCCCCCGGCTCCCCAGCTCTGCCTCCGGGCCCCGCCCCAGCGGCGCCCTAGGTGGACAGGCGAGGCCTAGAACCCCTGACAAAGACAGGGGTGTGCTGTGATCCCGCCAACCGCGGGGACTCCGAGGAGGGTGGGGTATGCGCAGCTGGGGTCCCATGCCGGGATTGGGAAAGCTGAGTCAGGAGGATTACCACGAATTCCAGGGGAGTTTGGGATAAAGAGGGGGCATCTCTTTGTCTTTAACAAAACAAAAACAAACTACTGGATGGCCTAGACTTTGCCCAACTGTCCAGGAACTTAGCGCCATCCTCCTGCCTCAGGCTACCGAGTGCTGGGGTCCGACTCTTTGCTGAACAGCTTCGCGCATTTTCAACCCAGCAGAGCTGGCTGTCAGTTGTGAGGAAGTGCCTTGTGAGGGGCAGCGAGATGGCTCAGCAGGTCAAGATGCTTGCCGCCAAGCATGATGACCCGAGTTCGATCCCCAGGACCCACAGACTGACATCCACACTCGTGTCTTGGCCGTGTGCCCGCACGAGGGTGCGTGTGCACACACACAAATAATTTTTCCTAAAGAGCTGCATTTTCCTTACTTGCAAATGGGAGGGCAGGGCTCAGCACTAAGTGGACAATAAATGCAGGGGCAAGAAAGCGGTTCATCGAGCTGACCTAGTGTTTAAAATTAATCAAGTGTGCGAATGTTTTGCCTGTCTGTGTACCAAGTGCGGCTGGTGACCATGGAGACCAGAAGGGGCACCGGATCCTCTGGAACTGGAGTTGTGAGCCCACACGTGGAAATCAAACCCAGGTCCTCTGTAAGAACAGCCCGGGCTCTGATTGGCTGAGCCATCACCAGGCCCCATCTATTTTTGTTCATGCTCCTTTTTAGTCACTACTTCCCTATCTAGCCCCTGCTGAACTAGAACTGGCCATCCTCCTGCCTCAGCCTCCCATATCAAAGTGAGCCTGACTCCCACCCACCGCCATTTCGTCTTCTATGAATGGAGAAGGTGGAGTGGATGAACCTCTCTGGCCTGACGAGGGAGGGAGGGGCTGCAGATTGCACTCCTCTTCTGGGGTGCCCACCGTATGTCCACATCCTGGAATCCTGGACCGTGACTCCTCCTGGTGAATCCACATGGCTAAACAGGTCCGATCAGGCCAGGGTACTGAGCGAGCACTACAGCTCTATTTGGGATGGTAGGGTGATAGGTGTCACCCCAACCTACTTTCCACTTGGAGCTGGCACCCTTGGGTGTCCAGGAGGACCCCAAAAGTAAACACTTCCTGTGGGAGTCACATCACCGTCACCTGCAAAAGGTCTTCCCTGTCTCTGGAGGAAAGGACATCAGGGTGAGTTCTGTAGGGTGCAGAGGAGTTTGCAAAGTGCAGTTAACCCCAGCCCGAGGTCACACCAGCCTGGTCACAAGAGCCGTGGTGTCAGGACTGCTCTGTCAGGACACCCAGACACAGCTGAGCCGGAGCCAGGCACGACTGTTCGGTTCAGCGCCTGTCTTCTGCCTCGGTGAACCTGAAATGACAAGAGGGCAGGCTCGGCAGCCTCGGATTTTATTCTGGTGACAAACCGTCCCAGGAAGAAGGAATTTACAGCGGGCACAGCAGGAGCGGACGTGGGTGCACAGAGCTCCCGAGCGCTGCAGAAATGGCACAGGTCACACGGTGGCTTCCCCCTCGCTGGCCTCCTCGTCCTCCAGCAGGCTGTAGCTCGCATGGGTCTGGCAGGGCCTCTGCAGCGGGTGGGCCAGCAGCTTGGCCATGCAGTTGTGCAGCTCGAGAGCAGGCCCGGTCAGTGCCACCTCATACTTGTAGCTGGTGCCCTTAGTATCCAGGCTGCCCATGAAGGAGAACATGTCCTGCGGGGGCCGGGGAGAGGCGGTTCAGGGTTGGCATTCGCCCTCAGTGGCCCTCCCTGTCCCTGGAGGCCTTCCTAGAGGAAGGGGCATCTAAAGTGGGTTCTGAGGGGTGAAGAGGAGTTGGCCAGGCCAGAAACTATTAATGCAGTCAGCAAACATTGCCTGACATCCACCCAGCACCAGGACTCCAGCTTTCATTCCGGGTGCCCTAGAAGCCCACGGCGTGGGGCTGGGAGGTGGCTCAGTGAGTAAGGTGCCCGCTGTGCAAGCACTTGGACCCGAGTTCGAAACCCTAGAACCCATGGAAAGCTAAATGCAGCAGGACATAGCCTTATCCCAGTGCATGCCCTCTGCAGGGTGGGAGGATCCAGAACTCGGGCCAGCCAGCGGTGGCCACAGCGGCAACAAGAGACTCCACTTCAAACCAGAGGGGAGGTCGCGAAGGCCCCACAGGGGAGACTTTTCCCTTGTGTTTTCTCTTCCTCAAACAAGGCCTCACACTGTAGCCCAGGTTAGCCTCCTGTGTGTATCCATTTCTTCTGAGATAGGAACGTCCATCCTGCAGGAAGCTCCTTAGACAGGAAGGTAAATAACTCAACAGCCCCAGGAAGTCCCTGGACCTGGGCGGATCCACGCGGCCCCTCCCCGCTGAGGACCCAGGACTGAGCTGCAAAGACTGGAGACCGGGCAGACCAGGGTCACCGGGGTGGACACTCTCCAGCCTGCAGGCTGTGCGGTGCTCCAGGCTCCCAGCCCTGTGAGCGGCCACCCATGGGGGGTGGGCTTTGGTGACGCTGCTGTCTGAGTCGTCTGCTCCTGTGAGAACCCCCACCCCATCCCTGTAAGTAACCCCGATAAATTCACGGGTTCTCCAAGCTTGACTTGGTGGTGTCTGTTGTACTTTGGTGTGCCGTGGGATGCTCTCGGGGCTGAGTGTTGTGTCTCTCCAGGGAAAGTCTTGTCACACAACTTCCCATCACGTCACAACCCCTGCCTCAGCCTTTCAGGTACTTCCCTCACAGGTAGAGGGGCAGAGTTACAGGCGTGCACATGTGCAAGTGTGTGCATGGGTGTGTGTGTGAGTGTGTGAATGTGTGTGTGCACGGGTGTATGTGTGCATGTGCAGGTGTGGGTGTGTGGGTGTGGGTGTGCGCCGAGTGCAGGTGTGTGGAGGTCAGAGTATAATCTCTGGGGTCAGGGCTCCCGCCATCATGGTCCGGGTATTGAACTCGGGTCCTCACGCTTGCCTGCGAGCGCCTCTACCTGACCCACCTCGCAGTCTGTGCACTGCAGTCCACAGACCTTAGCTAGAGGCCATCGCAGTCACCCGGCGAGTCAGGGGAAGCAGCAGAGGCCGGGAGAGGTCGCGAGGGGCAGGCCTTCAGGCGGAGGGTGCAGTGGGGTGCTGGGGATGGTGTGGGCTGGGCTGCTAAGGCCACGGCCTCCCGGGCCGGTCACCACCAGCTCAGCGTGGAACTGTAGGGCAGCTGTTGAACGACCGGATGGCGGGCCAAGTGGCCGGGAGGGGCAGGCCTCCATCCTCCTCTGCGTCAGCTCACCTTCCACCTCGCCTCCTCTTCCTTCTCCTCGGCGCCATTGTGGATGCACACGATGTCAAAGAAGAAGTAAGGGCACTGGAACATCTTCTGCAGCGGATGAGAGGGAGGGAGGGAGGGTGGGCGCCCACCCCAGCCTCTGCGGTGTCTAACCACTGCTCTCCCTTCCCTCCGGGCTTACCTTCATGGGCTCGGTCAGGGAGAACTGGGGCTGGCAGGGCGGGCGGCTATAGACCAGGATGGTGCGCACGACGTACGGGGGCGGGATGGTCTGCACGTTCTCTGTGACTGGCAGCTCGGTCTTCTGCTGGCTACAGAGAGGTAGGGCTCGGTACACAGGAGCCTACCAGCCCGGCCCGAACCCCCATCACAGCTGAATCCCACAGGCCACGGTCCTAGCGGCCCTGCATGTTAAACCGAAAGCCTGGGCCTGGGAGACGGTTCTGGGGCTAGAGGCTCCTGCAGCCAAGCCCGGGGACCTGAGTTCGATGCGCAGGCCCCACAAGGGAGAAGCCGAGAAAGGATCCTCACGAGGTGACCCTGACCTCCGCACAAGCGCCGTGGCACGTGTGTGTGCACACAAAATAAACACATGATGAAAAACGTGTAAGACTTCTCTAAAAGCATTCTCAAAGGAAAACAAATTCAAGCTCCACCGCTGGACACAAGGTTTGTCCTGTGGCCCCACCCACTGGACAGCCTTAGGCGGCTGTCTGTCTGCACCTTGCTGGGGAAGGAACCCAAGGCCATGCCCCATTCTGGATGAGCACTCACATGAGACTGAAGAGGCCTTCCAGATCTGGAGGGACGCTAAGGACGAGGTGCCAGCTCTGAGGCAGGGGGCTTCCCTGACCTGCATCCTGGGAGATAGCGGGTACCCCTGGGGTAGGCTGTGTGTCCCCTGGGGACAGGCAGTGTGACCCCTGGGGGAGGCAGTGTGACCCCTGGGGTAGGCTGTGTGACCCCTGGGGTAGACAGTGTGACCCCTGGGGTAGGCAGTGTGACCCCTGGGGTAGGCTGTGTGACCCCTGGGGTAGGCTGTGTGACCCCTGCGGTAGACAGTGTGACCCCTGGGGTAGGCAGTGTGACCCCTGGGGTAGGCTGTGTGACCCCTGGGGTAGGCTGTGTGACCCCTGGGACAGGCAGTGTGACCCCTGGGACAGGCAGTGTGACCCCTGGGGTAGGCTGTGTGTCCCCACCTAGCACTGCACCTCTCTGAGCCTGCTTCTTCTCACACATCATAAAGTGGGTGCTGGCCTTGACCCCCTGCAGACTCTCTAGGACTCCCATCATGCCACATCTCCACTGCTTCCTTAATTCTGGGGGAGCATCCTCCATGTTAGGGGCCACAGGTTGAAAGACATGGTTTTCACTTTTCAGGTAAAATCACCGTTAAGTTGCACCAACTGCATGCCAGCCCTGCTTCAGCGAAGCAGTCCCTGGGTGCACCTGCCACATGCTAGATCACACTCACTGACACCATCCCTCCACCACTCAGGATGGATGTCATGGACCCTCTGGGGCCTGGGTTCTGGGTGGCTTTGAGGTTTGGCATCACTGTGTATTAGTAGCCAGCTTTCTGCAGGGCGGTGGTGGCGCACGCCTTTAATCCAGCACAGGCGGATCTCTGTGAGTTCAAGGCCAGCCTGGTCTATAGAGTGAGTTCCAGGACAGCCAGGACTGTTAAACAGAGAAACCCTGACTTGAAAAACCAAAAAAGAAAAATAGCCAGGTTTCTGTTTTTTGTTTTTTGTTTTTTCTGATTCTGTGGTTTTGAAACAGAGTCTAGATCGTAGATAAGGCTGGCCTGTAACTTGCAATTCTCCGGCCTCAGTTTCCTGAGTGCTGGGTTGACTCTCCTGTACCCCAGCTCCTTGCCTGGTGCTGGGTCTTGAATGTGACTCCTAGACTGTCATTGATGGAATATTGTATTTGTGATCTCACTGGACAAATCCCTGAGTTTTTCGGGGCCAGGGTTCAGGTGCCAGGGCAGGTGCTTAGCATTCATGTAGCTGTGGGCTCCTCTCCAGCATACTGTCATTGAGCACTTAGAAGGTGGGGCAGGTGAATCAGGAGCTCAAGGCCATCCTTAGCTACACTGTGAATTCAAAGCTAGCCAGGGCTACATGAGAAATACTCTCTAAAATACATTTTTATATTTGATGGGGGGGGGCACATCTTTAATCCTAGCACTTGGGAGGCAGAGGCAGGTGGATCTCAGTGATGAGGCCAGTCCGGTCTATATTGAGTTTCAGGGCAGCCTGGGCTACATAATGAGGCCCTGTCTCAATAAATAAATATTAAAAATAAAGAATTAGGGACATGGTCCTGAACTATTGTCATTCTACTCAGGACGCTGAGGCAGGAGGATCATGGATTCAGCCTGGGCTATACAGCAGGATCCTATGTCAAAAGCCAACAACTATAGAAAAGTACCGATTTCAGATTCTGAATGTTTTTGGATTCTGGATGTTCACCCTGGGCTCTGTGTTGGAAGGACCCCACAATACTACTGAGCCCCCATCACAGCTGATCTGGGGCCACGGACAAGGATACTGAACGTGGAGCAGGACGCTGTCTCCAGGTCGTACAGGCAGCTGCAGAGCTCACGTGGATCAGAGGTCAGGCCAGACAGCTGTGGGGAAGGCAGGGCCTCAGTGCTGGGGCTCCCGGTCCCGAGGTCTCCCAGAGTCCCTGTCCACCCCCAGCCTCACCCAAGCGGAGTCATCGTTCACTACGACCAGTGCAAACTCGTGGCTCTTGTCAATCTTGTGCTTCGTGCGCACAAACATCTCGACCATCTTCTGAGACACGTTCAGGGCATTCGTCCTGGAGCTGGAAGAGGTGGGGTGACAGCGAGCACAGACAGCCATTGTGACAGCCAATCTTGGTTGTCAACTTGACGACATCTGGAATTAACTAAAACCCAAGGGACTGGGCACGGCTGTGAGGACGGAATAAATCATTTGAAGCGGGAAGACCCACTGCTGATCCAGGTCTTCTGAGGTGGGAAGAGCCACCTGCAGTCTGGGCCACGCCCTCTGCTGGCAGCCTAGGTAAAGGGCTCTGCCTCCTCGCTCTCGCTTTCATGAGCAAGTCTGTTCCTTCACCGCCATCAGAGCCTACTCTTCAGGACTGCAGCATCTACTGAAGACCAGCTGAGACATCCAGCCTTGTGCACTGAACAACTACTGGATTCTGGGGCTTTCCCTTGGTAGACAGTCATTGTTGGAGTGGCTGGACCACAGCCTGTGAGCCACTCTGATAAACCCCCTTTATGTACGTGTGTGTGCGCAAATGTATACATAGAGGTATATGTAAATGTCTATGTATACATACACAGATTCTCTCTATATATATGTATGTGTATATGTCTATGTATATGTTCACAGATTCATTCTATATATATGTATGTGTATATATAAATGTCTATGTATATATACACAGATTCACTCTCTATATATATACACGTATGTGTACATATAAAAGTCTATGTATATGTTCACAGATTCATTCTATCAGTGTTATCCTTCTAGAGATCCCTGACTAATAAACCAAGTTAGCCTCAAACTCACCATGTAGTTAGTTCAGGCTAGCCTCACACCTGCTGTGGAACCCAAACTGGTACCCAAATTACTGCAGTATCCAGGGGGACCTTGAACTCCTGATTCCTCCATCTCCACCTCCCAGTGCCAGATGTGTGCCACCGAGTCCTGTAGCCTTATTCTTATCCCTTACAGGGCCCTGAGGCCACTCCAGATGTGACGCCTGATACCCCAGCTGCTGGAGGCACACAGAGCTCAACAGCTTCTATGAGACCTGACAGTGGTCTGCCCCATCCACCCGAGGCGTCATGGACACCAGATCCTGCTGGGTAGAACAAGGACCCTGTGCGTTCTGAGCTGGCCAAGCCTGAGCCCAACGCCACCGTACCCATTAAAGGACTCCAGTTTTGGCACAGACATCTCCTCCGAAAGATCCAAACAGATGATCTGAAACACAAACAGAAGACAGGAAGTACAAGACCAAACCAGACAGCTAGGACAGCTAGGGGTGGGACCCAGCCTGCAGTACTCAAAAGGGGTTGAGGGCAGGGCTCAGGAGTGAGCTGGGGGCGTGGCTCAGGGGTGGAGCCCCTGCCTAGGATCTCCAGTGAGAGGCTGGGGGCGTGGCTCAGGGGTGGAGTCCCTGCCTAGAATCCCCAGTGAGAGGCTGGGGGTGTGGCTCAGGGTGGAGCCCCTGCCTAGAATCCCCAGTGAGGGGCTGGGGGCATGGCTCAGGGGTGGAGCCCCTGCCTAGAATCCCCCAGTGAGGGGCTGGGGGCGTGGTCAGGGTGGAGCCCCCGCCGAGGATCCCCAGTGAGGGGCTGGGGGCGTGGTCAGGGGTGGAGCCCCCGCCTAGAATCCCCAGTGAGGGGCTGGGGGCGTGGTCAGGGGTGGAGCCCCGCCTAGAATCCCCAGAGAGGGGCTGGGGGCGTGGTCAGGGTGGAGCCCCTTCCTAGAATCCCCAGTGAGGGGCTGGGGGCGTGGCTCAGGGGTGGAGCCCCGCCTAGAATCCCCAGTGAGGGGCTGGGGGCGTGGCTCAGGGTGGAGCCCCGCCTAGAATCCCCAGAGAGGGGCTGGGGGCGTGGTCAGGGTGGAGCCCCGCCTAGAATCCCCCAGTGAGGATCTGAGGGCGTGGTCAGGGTGGAGCCCCGCCTAGAATCCCCAGTGAGGGGCTGGGGGTGTGGCTCAGGGGTGGAGCCCCTGCCTAGAATCCCCAGTGAGGGGCTGGGGGCGTGGCTCAGGGGTGGAGTCCCTGCCTAGAATCCCCAGTGAGGGGCTGGGGGCGTGGTCAGGGTGGAGCCCCGCCTAGAATCCCCCAGGAGGGGCTGGGGGCGTGGTCAGGGTGGAGCCCCGCCTAGAATCCCCTAGTGAGGGGCTGGGGGCGTGGTCAGGGTGGAGCCCCGCCTAGAATCCCCCAGTGAGGGGCTGGGGGCGTGGCTCAGGGTGGAGCCCCGCCTAGAATCCCCAGTGAGGGGCTGGGGGCGTGGCTCAGGGGTGGAGCCCCTGTCTAGATCCCCTAGTGAGAGGTCCAGGTGCCAAAAAGTAAAAAAATGAAAAAAACATCCCCTGCATCCTCAGCCAAGACATACCACCTTCTCTGGACAGTTGACCCGTGGTGTTCGAATCTGGACCTCAGGTGCTGGTGCTGGTACCTGCCAGGGCTTGGGCCCGGCTCCTGGGACACTGGCTGCCCCATCATCTGCACTGGCCGCCTCACCCTCACCCTCGCTGCGGCTGCCCACATTGGCCTGAGCTCCCAGGGCCCGGTCCTCGGCCCCCTCTGGGTTGGAGCGAGTGTGAGGTCTGGGCTCAAGTGTCGGCTCCTCCCCTTCCTCCTCCTCCTCCTCTTCCTCCTCCTCAGTGGGGCTATTGGCCTCGGCCACCTCCATGGCTCCTAGGTGCTTGGATGGAGAGGGGATAGCGGAAGCCAGGATCCTGCTGTAAGAGTTTTTAAAAGCAATCGGTTACTAAAGCCTGAAGCCGAGCCAGGAGCCCCTGGCCGCATGGGAGTGAGGTCAAACCACCCACTGGTGAAGCAAATAACAGCTTTCTCATTTTCTTTCTTTTTTGTTGCGACAGTTTCCTGTAGCCCAGGCTGGCCTCTAACTCCCTGTATGGCTTAGGATGACCTGGTAATCCTGACCCTCCGCATCCACCTTCTGCGTGCTGGGAGTGCACCACCACACCCCGTCTATGCGGTGCTGAGGATGGAGACCCAGGGCCTCATACGTGCTAGGCAAACACTCTACCCACGGAGCCACAAGCACTCTGCTCACTGAGCTACAAGCACTCTACCAAATGAACGGTGACCCAATCTTGGCTTTCCACTTCTTACAGCAGGGCAAACACCGTCTCTGCCTTTCACTGGGCCAACAGACACAACTGCCTGGTCACCGGGGAAACTCCGAGGTGGCTGGTGGACCCACTAAGGCCTTGGGTGGCTCCCACGCCTGAGAGTCCCGGGCGACAGAAAAGGAAAAGAGACTTAATTGGTTTGCCGGGCTGAGAAGGTACAGCAGAGACGCCCCGGCTGCACACCACTCCTGGGCGCCCCACTTGCCTTGCTGGCTTCGGCGAGCTCGTGTCTGCGTTTCTGTCACCCCAGGCGACAGCGCCTGGGTGACTGGATCGTGCACGAGAGCCGGGCGCGGACTCGGGTGATCGGGAGCAGAAGCCCGGGTCGCCGCCCGGGCAATGGATGTGCGTTTCTCGGGGCGGCGCCTCGGGACGGCGCAGCCCCCAGCTCCTCAAGCAGAGCGGACCTGGCGCTGCAGCAAGCCGTTCCGAAGTGTGACCACAGCGACACAAAGCTCGCGCGCGGTCACTCCGCCAGGTTCCACGCCGCAGCCCGGGCACCGCGGCCAGTCAGTATCAGGGCTCTAGGAAGCCGCCATCTTCCTGACCGGAAGTTGGTGCGGTTTGCCGTGAGGCCTTCTGGGAAATGTAGTTCGATGGCTGATAGGCTGCGGCGCCCCTGGAGGTGTGGCTTAGAGTTTAACTGGCAGGAGTAGGGCTGAAATGGGGAGAAGTGTGACCCGATGTTGACTGAAGCACGATTGGGCGGAGCTTGTAGCTCTGGCTTAAGCAGACCACAGCTGTCAAGGCTTCTGCTGTGATGGAAAAGACCGACCTGGGCGGGGCTTATTGATGATTGACGGGGTAGGCAGGCTCAGTTATTATTTCTGCTCCTTATTTCACACATGTTGGCATTCATCCAATACTATCGCGATGCGCATGGTGGTGCCCACCTGCCATCCAGAGGTCAGAAGACGAAGATCGGGTGTTTAGGCTAGCCTGGGCTATAGGAGACCCATCTAAAAACCAAAATGGAAAGAAAAAGTAAAAAGAGAAGCCAGCAGACACCCTGCGGACAAGGCTCACTGTGCCACGGGAGCCGCCTGACGCCGACAAGCAGTGCTCCATTGGAGCAGCAGTCAGTCTCATTGAAGGGAAACATCGCCGGTGAACGGGTGCAGGAACCGCCAAGCCTGAAGACCTGAGCTCGATCCTGCATGGTGGAAAGAGAGAACCGATTCCCACAAGCGCGTGTGGCTTACCCACCCACAGACACAAACAAATAAAGCAAGTAATGGAAAGTAAAATTATATTCCAATGCTGGAGCCCACTCCTACAGGCTTTTTGTTTTTGTTTTAGAAACACACAAAAATAAAAATAATAAAGGAAAAAAAAAAGACCTTACAGTGGAGTGAGCCCCAGTGAACACGGGGACACTGAGAAAACCTGAAATGGAAATGGAGAGACTACATACAGGTTTGGGCTGGGATGGGGGTGGTGGGGCTGATATCTTGGAGTGGGACAAGGGTCCAGGTCCTCCATCCTGCCCCCGTTTTGGAGGAAGCTGACATCCTGGAGAAGGAAACAAGACAATAACTGTCCATGTGACCAGGGCAGGGGGCTTCCTGTTTCTCAGCTCCTCCCAGGCCAGCCTTGGCCAGCGTAGCCTCAGCGGCCAATGGCCAGGGTGACCTGAGATGTGCCCAGGAGCTCAGGCCTTTCCCAAGGTGCTCTGGAGCAGAGCAGAGGGCCGGAACGCCCCACCCCACCCAGGGAGAGGGAGTTTGGTGCTCGGAGCGTCCTGGGAGGAAAGGGGACTCTTGGGGTCCTTGTCCCACACCTCCATGGCGGAGAGAGGGGAACACAGATAAGAAATGCATTCAGGCAGCTGAGAGGAGAGGATTGCCAGGTAGAGAAGGGGCGAGAGGTTGGGCAAATGGACAAGTAGGGGTGCCATCGGCCGAGGTAGTCAAATATTCAAATGTGTTCAGTCAACACAGCTGACCCAAAACTCCTGCTTCGGAAAAAAACCTAAGGACCCAGGGCAACAAAGGGAAGATCTGAGAACCGTCTGTGATCAGGGGGTGAAAGAGGTGATGAGTGCCCGGGCCACGCGGCCCCGAAGCCGTCGAGGGAGGCATCCTCCACCCGTAAGTTGCCCCTCTTCCTGCCGCACCCAGCTCCCAGCTCCAGGGATCCTGGAGCCCAGGCCTCCTGGGCTCGGAACCTGCAGTGGGGGGAGAGGGGTCAGTCATTCTCAGGGGCACCTGGACCTGGTGGCTGAGAGCCTGCCGGGCCGGTCCTTTGCAGGGGGAGCTGGATCCTGTGGCTGAGAGTTCGGAGGAGGTGGAGGCCACCCATGGGAGCTTCGAGGCCAAACCTGGGCTGCTTCAGGAACACCTCGGTCCTAACCTGCAGAGCCCAGGGAACCGGTAGGACAGATTTAGTGCGAACTTCCTATTCCAGCAGGTGTCCCTCACAAAGCTCACACACACACACACACACACACACACACACACACACACACTTCTGCCTTAGCTTCCCATTGCCTCCTCTGCCCTCCTCCATCTTCTTCCTTCTCTTCCTCCTCTTCCATGAAGCTCCCTGCCTGCTCACCCTTCCCAGGGACCTTGAGGTCTAGGCTCAAAGTCCATGCTAAGCCTCAAGTGGCTGGGGTTCTCGGGTTGTCTTCGCAGGCCCGAGGATGACTGTGGCGTGGGATTTCACGGGGCCCTAGTCGTGAAGCCAGAAGAAGAACGGTGTCAGCCTGAGGCCGAAGGCCACCAGACCCCACCGGCAGCCCCGCTGGGTCATAGCCCTCCCGAGACATCAGTACCCAGTGTGTTTGAGACCCTGGAGAGCAGGCTGAGCTCCCTAGAGGCCACTGTGGCAGCCTGGCGCCACCGCTCCCTAAGCTTTCCAAGGCCAGTGGAAGGAGAAGACAGAGAGCAGGGGCCACCGGGGGCCTTTGGTGGTCAGGAAGAAGCCGGCTTGCCGGGACAGCAGGAGGCAGCCCGCCTCATAGAGAGGAACGCCTGGCTGCGGCTAGCCCTGGGCAGCCGGGAGGAGGAGTTGGCTTGGACTCACGCATCCCTGCAGGATGCCCAGGCAGAGAAGGAGGCTCTGCAGAGACAGGTGAGCTGGTGACCGGGGAGGGGCCGATCATGCCTCGGGAACATACCCACATGTATTCATTCAGCAAACCCATGCGGAGCAGGGACGGATAGACGTGCCGGAGAAGTGAGCAAGGAAGACAGGGCAAGAGGGGATGGAGGCCCAGACTGAAGTCAGAAGGAAGCCAGGCAGGGAGCACCCCATGATCTCCGCACTCCAGAAGCTGAGGACAGACAATCTCAAGTCAGAGGGCGCCTGGCCAAGACCAAGGTCATTCTCCGCTGTAGATTGAGTTCAAGGCCAGCCTGGGTAGCAGACCCTGGGTCAATTTTTTTTTCCGTTTTTTGTTGTTGTTGTTGTTGTTTTTTCAAGTTGAGGACTGAACCCAGGGCCTTGCACTTGCTAGGCAAGCGCTCTACCACTGAACTAAATCCCCAACCACCCCCACCCCCTGTTTGTTTCTTTAAAGGTTCAGAGTACCTCAGTGGTAGAGGCCTTGCCTAGAGTGTGTGAGGCCTTGGGCACCAGACACACGCACGCGCACACACACACACACACACACACACACACACACCACACACACACATACGCGCGCGCACACACACACACACACACATACACACATTGTCATGATAAAACACTACAACTAAAAGCAATTGGGGAGGAAGAGGTTTTTTTCATCTTAAAACTCTCAGGCCACACTGCATCACTGAGGGAAGCTGGGGTGAGAACCCACGGCAGGGACCTGGAGGCGGAGCTGATGCAGAGGCCATGGCTCACCGGCTTGCTCTTCATGGCTTGCACAGCTGCTTTCTTGTGGAACCCAGGACCACCTGCCCAGGGATGGCCCCACCCCCAGTGAGCTGGGCCCTCCCTCATCGGTCATCCATCACGAAAATGTCCACAGGTCCGTCTGGGGGAAGCTTTTCCTCAACTGGGATCTCCTCTTCCCGAAGGACTCTAGCTGATGTCAGAGTGACACACGCCCTGAGGTCACTGTGGCCAGAGGGGAGTTGGGGGGGGTGAAGGCGAGTGAGCACCACCCCCGTGTGCAGGACTTAGAGCTGAGCTCGGTGTGTGGTGGGGCCGCAGAGGGGTCTGGGTTCCGAGGTGACGGGACCTGCGGCCGCCGCTGCTCCCTCGCTCCCTCTGCTGGCCGGGAGAGGAACAGCCTGGCAGTGGCGCACGACCCTGGGGGGTTGGGGGGGTCGACGGCAGTGGTCCAGGCGCAGAGGGCCTGGTGGAGGTGACCAGGAGTGGGCAGGTGATGGGTGATGGCAAACCCAGACGGGGTGGGACGAGGCCTGGTGGAGGTGACCAGGAACGGGCAGATGATGGGTGATGGCAAACCCAGACGGGGTGGGACGAGGCCTGGTGGAGGTGACCAGGAGCGGGCAGATGATGGTGATGTCAAACCCAGATGGGGTGGGACGAGCCTGTGATACTAAGGACTCCAGAGCCTGAGGCAGGAGGATCACAGTTTGGCACTAGCTTGAACAAGATAGGCAAACATTGTCTCAAAAACAGAAGTAAGAACAGAGGAGGGGGCCAGGGCCACACAGAGCCCACCCCAGAGTCCTCTGGCGCTGGGGGCGGGCGCGGCCCTCAGCTCGCAGAGACTCCGCTCACCAGCGTAAAAACGAAATTCTCCTCGCTGAGTGTGGCGGTGCGCACTTGAAATCCCAGCGACGTGGAAAGCTGAGACAGGAGGATGGCTTGAGTTGGGGAGATCCAGACGACTCAGGGAAACACTGAGTCTCCTAAAAAAAATTTAGAAAGGAAAAACGTCAGGGGATGGAGAGATGGCCCAGTGGTTAGGGGCACTGGCTGCTCTTCCAGAGGACCTGAGTTCAGGTCACAACTGCCTGTGACTCCAGTTCCCAGGGACTCAACACCTCACACAGACAGACGTGCCGGCAAAGCACCCATGCACACGAAATGATAAAAATAAATAAATCCAAAAAAAGTGGGGCTGCCCCCGCTTCCCACCCCCCTGCCGGTAGCTGCCGGGGACCTGGCCCAGGTCACTGGACGGGGTTTGCTGGGCTCCTGCCCTGACACCTGTGTGGACATGGAGGCTGCAGCCTGACCCCCACCGGCAGGTGCGGGACCTGGAGGACTCCCTACCGCGGCTGGAGGACCCGCCGGGGCTCCGCAGGGCAGGGCGCGCACACAGCAACTCCAGCGGCTCCGAGGCGGAAGGGGAGCCCTGGGCACCGCAGGTAAGCCCGGGGCCAGTGTCCTCTGCCTTCCCAGTGTGGGGTGAGCTTCCGTCTGGGCTTCACGGGGTCCCCAAGTGTTGTGTGACTGCGTCTCCCCAGGAGGGATGGGGTGGGGGTTCTCAGGAGCAGAGACGACTCAGACAGCAGCGTCACCAAGGCCCACCCCGGCCTGGGTGCAGCTCACAGGGCTGGGAGCCTGGAGCTGCACAGCCTGCAGGCTGGAGAGTGTCCGCCCTGGTGACCCTGGTCTGCCCGGTCTCCAGTCTTTGCAGCTCAGTCCTGGGTCCTCAGCGGGGAGGGGCCGCGTGGATCCGCTCAGGTCCAGGGACTCCCTGGGGCTGTTGGATTGTTTACCTCCTCACCACAGTCACCACAGCCACCAGTCACCCCCGCTGCTTAGGGCCCTGAGACACAGGATGGTGACAGTAATTTACCAAGACCCTGTCTCTATATAAAACAGTAAGCATTGGTGGGAGGCTCAGCTGAGAAGGGGACCTGCCGCCAAGCCGATGAGAACTGGCTCCCACACGGTGTCTCTGACATCCATTCGTGTGTCATGGCACACACAGGCACACATGTGTGCATCACCCCACAGGTGTGCATCCACAGTCTCCCAAACCACAACCAAAGCCACAGCTGTGCCGCAGACGTATACCATGTCCCAAGGCCCCGGTCCCGGTCCCAGCCCTGAAAAAGGGGAGGAAGATGAGTAAATCAAGTCACTCATGTCCTCCCGGCAGGACGCCCCCTTGGCTCACCCCCTTCTCCGACGCCTCCGGAGTGACTCCAGCACCCCGACCTTTGGGTGCCTTTCCACACCGCGTCCAACCCGTGAGAGGCGCCTCATGGAAGACCAGATGGGGCAGCTCCAGGGGTGAGTGGCTGAGTGACAGCCGCTGAGCTTTTAAGGGCACCGTGGCTCCTGCCCTGGGTGCCGGGGTGGCAGGAAGGAGCCTGGCTCTAGCCCGGCCTCACTCACCTTCCCCGTTGCCCGCCCTCTGAGGCAGGAGCATCGAGAAGCTCAAGTGCTTCAACCGCCTCCTGCTGGCTGTGCTCCAGGGCTACAAGGGCCGCTGCGAGAGCCTGAGCATGCAGCTGGGCCAGCGGGAAGCTGAGGCCACGGCCCTGCACCTGGCCCTGCAGTACAGGTCTGTGCCCAATACCCATGGCGGCGGTGGTGGCGGCTGGGGCGGGGGGTGCATGCCAGGGTGGCCCTGTGTGCAGGACATGGAACCTTCCGAAGGCGTCTGACTCATAAAGTGGGCCGGGTGGGGGCTGTCTTTCTGTGGTTTGTTGTGTATTTATTGGAGACGGGGTCTCGCCGTGTAGCCCAGGCTGGCCTGGAACTTGCTCTTGTAGCCCAGGCTGGCCTGGGACTCACAGAGCTCCGCCTGCCTCTTACTGGGCTGGGGCTGAGTGTTGAAGCGCTCAGATCCCGTCCCGCAGTGAGGATTGCGAGGAGGCGTACCGGGTGCTGCTGGCCCTGAGGACGGCTAGCCCAGGAGCTGAAGCCACCGAGAGTGCCCTGCAGGCTGCCGAGGAGGAGGCCTCGAAGCTACTGGTGGAGAAGGAAGTGGCCACGGAAGGAGAGACGCCCCGGCCCAGGTACCGACGGAAGCACAGGAGCTAGGCCGCTCCACGAGGGGGGCGCGCCCCAGAGCCTGCTGCCTCTGGGGGTTTAATGTCCCTGTCCCTGTCGCTGCCCAGGGCGGTACCGAGTTCATGTTGGCTGACACCAGGTGTGGGGACTCAAGCCTTTGATCCCAGCACTCAGGAGGCAGAGTCTGAGGAGTTCAAGGCCAGCCTGGTCTGCATAGCAGATTCTAGGCCAGCCTGAGCTACACAGTGAGACCCTGTCTCAAATAAATACATACGACGCCAAATACACACACAGAGCACCAAGTTGCCTCAGATAGATGCATAGACCCCGGTTTCAACCTCTAAAGCTGGGAAAGGTGATCGGTGAAGAGAAACATGATTAATTTTTGGTTTATGGCTTCAGAGGTGTCAATCCACCGTGGCAACAGGAAGTAGAGGGCAGAGCTACAGGGAGTGTCCAGGGCACGGTGTAGCCCCAAAGGAAGGAGGCTCTGGCAAAGGCCCGTGTGGACCTGGCAGGGTCAGCAGTCACTTCTCGGTCCTGTCCATCGCAGGGCCCGTGAGCTCCAGCACTGCAGTCTCGGCGGCCTCGGTGTCCAGTGCGGGCTGTGTGCATACACCGCACCATGGAATTCAGACTCCCCCGGTGGCCTAGTTACCACCAGGCTCCACCAGCTTGCTATGTATCTGAGAATGACCTTGAACGCCTGACCCTCCTGCCTCCATCCCTGGGAGTTGGGATGTGTATAGGTGCCAGGGATGGAGCCTCAGGCATGCTAGGCAAGCTCTCTATGGACCGAGGCCCAGCACGGGCCATCTTGTCTTGCTGGAAGCCTGCCCAGCCGGCACAGGGCCGTGGTGGCTCCCCGGGGCTGTGCCTTGGGAAGGGCTGTGTAGCATGGGTCTGCTTCCTGTCTCCTGCAGCCCAGAGGGGAGCAGCGTGGACAAGCCTACACCACAGGAACTGGCTGCTGAGCTCCATGGCTACATCCAGCGTCTCCGGGCACGCTGGGCCCTGGTGAAGATCCCCCCAGCACTCTGCCCTGCCCCCACACCCAGGCCCACCATGCCTCACGCGGAAGCGACCGTACAGGCCGTCCTGGAGATACAGCCTGGCCCAGCTCTGCCCCGGCTGGAGAAGTCTCAGATCCAGCAGGACCTGGTGGCCACTCGGGTAGGAATGTGCTGACGCTCTCACAGCGCCCTTGATGATGTCATTGGAGATCAGAGGCAATCAGGGTTTCCCTTGGAGGGGCAGCTGGTTTCTTACAGGAAAGAAAGCTGGAGTTGAGGCTTTGGGGAATGCATAGGAGTTCCTCCTCCTGATTAGGTTTTCCATAAGATTCTACAAGTTATCTTTGTGTTGCTCTGATGAAATCCCTGACGGGGACAATTTCAGGAAGGAAGATTTGTTCCATCTTGACTGACAGTTCCAGGGTGCAGTCCATCAAGTCGTGACTGTCTGAGCCTGAGGCTGCTGGTCACATTACATCTGCATTTAGGGAGCAGAGAGAGAGATGCATGCACCCCAGCACCCCAGCCCAGGGGTACGGGTCCTCCCTACCCCTGTCACTCTAATTTAGATACTCCCTCTCAGGCACGTCCACGGGGTTGGGGTGATTTTAGATCCCATCAAGTTGACAGCCAAGATCGGCCGTTGCAAGCCACTTTCCCAACAGCCTCTTTGCACAGGAGATGCAGGAGATGCAGGGCTTCAGCCAGGGCCAAGAGTTCCAGGGGCTGGGGGCAGGGTGGCTCAGTAGTACAGCACTTGCTAGCGCCAATGAGAACCCTCTTGCTCCCCCCCCCCCTTCTATAAAAGGGAAGCAGACCTGGTGGTGTGAAGCACACACCTGTAATCCCAGCATGGGGTGCTGAGACAGGAGGATCAGGACTTTGCAGCCCAGCCCTTAAGACTGAGCTCCATGGTGACACCAGGTCTCAGAAATGTGAAATAAGCAAAGATTTGAGATATGAGAATTGGACTGGAGAGACGGCTCAGTGGTTATGAGTGCAGGCTGCTCTCTTAGAGGATCCGCGTTCAGATCCCAGCACCCACATGGCAGCTCACAGACGTTCGACTCTAGCTCCGGGGGCTCTGACGCCCTCTTCCGGGCCTCTTGCAGCATTGCACTGGTGTGCAAACGGCCACTCCAGCCCTGGCTACCTGAAACTCACTCTGTAGACCAGGCTGGGCTTGAACTCACAGAGATCCGCCTGCCTCAAGTGCTGGGATAAGGTCTGCACGGCTCTGCCTGCCTGCCTGCCATAGAGTAAATTTCAAACAATAAAGAAAAAGATGTGAGGTCTGAGAAATTCTAGACGCTTCCACAATGTCACTTCCCGGCGGTGGTCGGGGTGTTTTCCCGGCCTCCGTGGGCACCCCCGGAGCTGACTCTCGTCCCCCACCCCGCACCCCGCAGGACAGTCTGGCGGACCTGGTGCTGCGGCTGCAGCTGGCGCGGCGGGAGAAGCGCGGGCTGGAGCTGCGGGAGGCGGCGCTGCGGGCCCAGGGCCCCGCCCACCTGCTGCTGCTGCAGCAGCTTCGCTGGGAGCAGGCTCACCTGGCGGGCGCCGGCGGCAGCAGCAGAGGCAGCAGCGAGGACCCGAGCAGCGAAGAGGAGGAGGAGGACCAGGAGGAGGAGCCCCAGCAGCGCCAGGTACCCCGCCCAGCCTCCTGCCCCAAGAACAAGTGGTGGTCAAGGCCCTTGCTGCGGCCCCCAGCTGAATCCCCAGGGGTACGGGTCTTCTAACCACAGAATTAAAGGGGGCGGGGTGTGTGGAGCTGGAGCATGGCTCAGGCGTTAAGCGCACGGGCTGCTTTTGATGAGGACCCAGGCTGAATCCCCAGGGGTACAGGGTCTTCTAACCAAAGAATTGAAGGGGGCGGGGTGTGTGGAGCTACAGCATGGCTCAGGCGTTAAGCGCACGGGCTGCTTTTGACGAGGACCCAGGCTGGATTCCCAGCACCCACGCGGTGTTCACCACCATCCAACGCCCGGTTCTGGACTGTGGGCACGTGGTCCAGGCTTGCACACACCCATACCCAGAAAATGAAAATAAATAAATCTTTAAAAAATTAGAAATCCTAAGAGAAGGGTTACTAGAAAGCTTGGGGTGCCTTCGCAGAGCTGGGGAACCAGGGTCCCTTTGGGGGCTCTTAGCCTCATTAATAATGTAAGAACGTAGCTAACAGAGGCTCAATTTATTAGAATTTGAAAGGAAAACCCCAGCGCTGGCAAGCTGTAACTCGCAGCTCCCTGAAGGAGGAGGGGGATGGGAGAGAGGGGTGTGGGGTCAGCCCGTGGTGGAGGGAGCTTTGGTAGCTAGTGAGGAAGCCCAGTCACTTAGGGCCTGAAGTGCAGTGCCTGAGTCAGGCCTCAGGAAGGGGGGACCCCTCCCCCAGACTTCATGAAGAGGGTGGCATGCGTCCCGTTCTTCACACTCGGACCCACATAGTGGAAAGAGGACCGACACCCACAAGTCGTCTTCTGACCTCCACATGCACACTGTGGCGCGTTGGGCATGCACATACACCATTCATAAATAGCCGGGTGGTGGTGGCGCACGCCTTTAATCCCAGCTCTCAGGAGGCAGAGGCAGGCGGGTCTCTGAGTTCGAGGCCAGCCTGGGCTACAAAGTGAGGTCCAGGACAGGCTCCAAAGCTACACCGAGAAACCCTGTTTTGAAAAACCAAAAACAAACAAAAACCACAGAGCTCTCACTGGGACCTGGGCGCCCTCGATGTCCAGCCTGGGCTGACTGAACACAGCACACACCTGTCTTCTCTCCCGTCCATCTCCCTTAGGGCCCTCCTGCCCTCCCTGGTGGCCAGATGGGCAGAGCGTGGGACGCTGAGACCTTATCCCAGGAACTGTCGGCGTCCCTTGCCCGGTGTGTGTCTCGGGCCTGGCTGGGGGTGGGTGGGTGCGCACGCAAGTGTGGTGGGGAGCACTGTATCCAGCAGATACTGCCGAGGCGGGTGGCAGTCTGCGGGTGTGCTGGGAGGGAGGGCGAGGGTTGGGAGCGGCTGGGATGGTCTACGGTGCCCTTGCAGGGCGGCGGAGCTGCGGGCTCAGCTGCAGTCCCTGCGGCGGCAGCTGGAGCAGGTGGCTCAGAAGGGCCGGAGCAGACGTGCTCAGAGCGCGGAGCTGAACCGGGAGCTGTGCAAGGCTCACAGGTACGACTCGAACCCTCTTAGAGGCCTTCCGGCTCTCCCCGGGCCTCGGGATCCCCCCTTCTGAGCGGGGCGGCGGGGCCTGCGCACCGGACCGGTCTCAGCCAGGCATCTCCCCTCCCGCTGCTCGCAGCTCCCTGGTCTTGGCCTTCAGAGGAGCCCACCGGAAGCAGGAAGAGCAACGCCGGAAGTTGGAGCAGCAGCTAGCTCGGATGCAGGCCCAGCAGGCAGAGGAACTGGCAGTGCTGGCAGCCACAGCCCGAGCCCTGGGGCAGCCGGGGGCTCCCCAGCCAGGCCAGACCTTCCTGTAGGACCCGGACCCAGCTCGCGTGTAACACGCAGGTGTGGCGGCCACGTCATGAAGTGTCCTGTCGTAGGCTGGAGAGACGGCTCAGCGGTTAGGAGCGTCTGCTGCTCTTGCAGAGGACCTGGGTTCAGTTCCCAGCCTCAACAGCCACAGGCACTGGACCATCAGCTAGGAGGATCTGTCGCCCCCTTCTGGACTCTACAGGCTCTGAAGTCATGTGCACGCACACGCATCCACTCACATACGCGTAATTAAACCGAGTGTCCTGTCGTGACATCACACGCCCTGTCCTTTGTTCCGTGTGGCCAGGCCGCCTTATGAGGAGGTGCTGAGTTTGGCCAGAGCATCTTCCCAAAGGAGGACAGAGACGGGAAGGGCTCATCCGCAGGCCTGTTCCCAGGGGTGCTGGGGAGGAATCCCAGACTGCGTTAGGACCTGCATTCAGAAGAAGAAAAGGACGGGGTGGTTGCTCGGCAGCAGGTCAGGTGCTGAGGGCGCTTGAAGCCTTCAAGCGGCCTCTGCCCGCCCATCCCACCAGCCTGTGCGGAGGAGGCCCTGGGTCCCATCTACAGCCCTTTCCAAGCGCGTGGGAGGCTTCTGTAGAGCACCGAGGCTGGGACCAAGTGGGAGAGTGCCGGCCTCGCATGCGCAAGGCCCTGGGCTCGGTCCCGGCCACCACATACAAAGGGAAGTCTGTAATGCCAGCACTCGGTTCAAGGCTTTCCTCGGCTACATCGTGAGTTTAAGGCCAGCCAGGACCACGAGACAGCATCTAAAGAGTCAATGCATGGGGGCTGGGGAGACGGCTCTGCAGCTAAGAGCACCGACTGCTGCTGTAGAGGAGCAGGGATCAGTTCCCAGCACCCACGTCTGATGGATGGCGCCTCCGGCCTCCTGGGGCGTCCGCACACAGATACACATAATTTAAAATGATAAAAATACATGTAATGTAGCTGCGGTAGAGACCCTCTGAGTGGGGACACCTGTGACATCGAGACATGGCCACCCTGTGCTTGTGGGGAGAGGGGGTCAGGGCTTCTGGAAGGGGGTCCCGGGGAAGGAGGAAGGTTTTGTGTATGTAACAGGGCCACACCCCTCGCCGAGGAGGCTGGGATGGGGTCCAGCAGTCCCCTCCAGGCTGAAACCCTAGAGGAGGATTATCCTGCAAGCGGGCCCTGCAGGCCACACCTGTGCAGGTGTGCCGAACAGCAGCTGTCTGCCCTCAGGGGACAGCCACAGTGCCCCAGGGAGACCGAGGCAGTCACTGGGGCTGGGGACCCGCGTTTGCCCCCCACACTCTCCGTGGGCTCACTGTGAGGCAGGTCACCTTGCTGGTGGGGGGCGGGGTGGGGGGGCAGCTCCCTCCTTTCACTGCTCCCCCCCTCCAGGGGAGGAGCCTTAGCCACCGGGTCGTCAGTGGTCAGCCAAGGTCGCCCGTCGGGGTGGGGGGCCGGTTCCCAGGCGGCTCGCAGTGTCTGGCTGTTCCCACGGACGTCCCAGCGGCAGATGGGACCAGGGTCTTTGTCCCCAGGTCCTCGGCAGCCACAAGGTCAAATGTCACCTCGGGGCCACGGGCAGGGGTTATGGGGGCGTGGCAAGACCCTGCCCGCCCTCAGTTGGGCCCCGAGAGTGAGGGGGTGGCGGGGAGGCTGGGGCAGGGGCTGTACTCTCCTGCTCACTTCTCCCACCCCACACTCTCCATTAAACTAGCCCCCCCAAATCCGTTTATTTGGGCTCCTGTGACCCGGTCCCCCTTCCAGGGCCGTCTTTCCCTACACCGTTTTCATTGTTTCTCCGAGATACTGCTACCAAGGACTCTGGAACAGGCCAGTCTGGGGCCCGTGCCCTCACCCCAAATAACCAACTCTGACCCCAAAACTATTGTATCTTCTGGGCCCACCCAGGCCTTGTTTCCACTACAGCAGAGCTGGTTCTAATCAGACCCCTGGGAAGTCCCTGCTGGAGTTTAACCCGAGTCCTTGCTGTTTTCCGTGTCTGGATCCTCACATGGTATCCTGCAGCCTCCTCTGGGCAGGTCCGCGGCACAGGGCTGGGTGCCCCTGGCTGGCAGAAACCTGCACCTCACCCTCCCCTTAACGCCCCCACGTGTGGTCTCATCTTGTGGGGTGACTTTCACAAGGCTCTCCGGGGCAGAGTGGATGTTAGGGCGCACAGGGAGTCCCGGCCGCGTGCCCCGGTGTCCATACTGGACCCAGGCATGTGCAGGAGGCAGAACAGGCCTGGCGGGCAGAACCGTGACTCAGGGGTGAAAGGTCACCCCGGGAGGAGCTTTTCCAGCCAGTGAATGGGTTAAACGTTAACAGACCCGGAGTCAGGCCTCAGCTCCTCATCTAGGCCTCAAACGGGAAGGGAGCTTAATAAATGCTTGCCCTGGAGGTGCCTTGCATATAAAGGGAGCTTAATAAATGCTTGCTGCAGTAAACTTGGGTCTGGGGGGGGGCCCCCGGGAGGCTCAGGGGCGTGGCGGCAGCTGGGAGGCTCCTGGGAGCGGGGGAGACATCTGTGGCCCAGCCGGTCACCAAGCCGAGCCCTTTCTATGAAGCAGAGAAAGAAAAGGAAATGAAGGGGGACCGGGGACAACAGCCAGGGGCTGGCACGCCTTCCGGCCGCCTCAGGCCACGCCGGGGGCGCCGGGCGCCCTGCCTTCCCCCCGCCCCGAGGCCTGAAAGGACGGGGGGGGGGGACCCCTTGACCTCACGGCGCGGCCAGCAGGCCTGGTGAGGCCGCGTCCCCCCCGCCACCCCCAGACTCGGGGCACCAGGTGTTCACCGGAGCGGAGCGCGCGGGGCGGGGGCGGGACCGGCCGC